CCCTTCCATGTTTCTTCAATTGGAACAGTTTAAAACCCTGAAGTGACATTCCGCAGGCATGTCCGACTTTTTGAATTAAACCATGCCCTCAGTTAAGGCAAATACATCAATGTTACCTGCACTAGCAACTAATCTCAACTCGTCCATCTTATTCCTAACACTATGGCTATTAGCATAATAAACATTGAAAGACTCTCCTTTCTCTTTACCCTTCCTGCTCATTTCTGTTTTTCTACTAAACCTATTACTGTCCTTATCACCCAGTGTCACTGGCTTTTCAATATCTACTTCGTTCTGCTTATTACTAGTTCCCCTAAAACTCATAATATTACTACACTGGGACTTCACTGTTTTCCTGCCAAAACCCATTCCACTAACTATTCCTAGTTTAAAGTCCTAACAGCTCCCTCCACTGCAGTTGCCAGTGCCCCCACCCCAGACCTAGATAAGTGAACCCCATCCCTGGCATACATGTCATTTCTGCCATAGAAGAGGTCCCAGTTGTCAATGAATGTTACCGCATTTTCCTTACAGTAAATGTCCAGCCAGCAATTGACACCAATTGCCCTGGACAACCATTCATTTCCAACTCCTCTCCTTGGCAAAATACCACATATGACAGGGTTCCCACCCTTCCTCCTAATTATTTCTATTGCTGACCTATACCTGCTAATCAGGTCTTCACTCCTACGTCTGCCAACATCGTTGCCTCCAGCACTGAGACAGATAATAGGATTGCTCCCATTACCTCTCATGATGTCATCCAGACGGCTAACAATATCCTCCATCCCAGCCCCAGGAAAGCAAGCTCTCTGTCTCCTACTCCTGTCCTTCAAGCAGAATGCCCTATCCATATACCTAACTTGGCTATCCCCAACAACAACAATATTCTTACCTTCCTTGGTGTCGTTCGTCGTGACGTTCCCAGTAGCCGACTCGCATTCGTCGGGTAGCACTGAGAATTTATTAGATGTTTCCACAACAGTTTCCACAGCAGTCTCTTTCTTCTTCATCGTTTCTACCTTTCCATTCGTCTTCTTGATCGTCAACTTCGTTCCCTGCTGTCCAGCCACTGACCAGTTTCCCTTCTTGACCTGAGGACTCAAAACAGGAGGACTACTACGAATCTTCTTGTTTTCCTCGGTCAGTCGCCGAATCTCCATCTTCGCCATCCTCAATTCTTCCTTAAGCTGTTGGTAAAGTTGCTCAATGGAGGGCTTCTTGCTTCAATCTGTAGAGAGCGCACAAACAGGTCTTCACAGAGCTAAGTACACGTCACCACTCTAAGTACACGTCACCACTCACAAACAGATGGAGGAGGTGAATGTATTTAGATATTTAGGGGTGGACATGTCAGCAGGATGAGGTGAATCACAGAAGTAATGAGGGGAAAAGGGTGAGTGATGCACTTATGAGTCTGTGGAGACAAAGGACTTTGTCCATGGAAGCAAAGAGGGGAATGCATGAGAGTATAGTTGTACGAAAACTCTTGTATGGGTGTGAAGCATGGGTGATGAATGTTGCAACAAGGAGAAGGCTGGAGGCAGTGGAGATGTCGTGTCTTAGGACAATGTGTGGTGTGAATATAATGAAGAGAATTCGTAGTTTGGAATTTAGGATAAGGTGTGGGATTGCCAAAACTATTATCCAGAGGGCTGAGGAGGGGTTATTGAGGTGGTTCGGACATGTAGAGAGAATTGAACAAAACAGAATGACTTCGAGAGTGTATAAATCTGTCGTGGAGGAAAGGTGGGGTAGGGGTAGGCCTAGGAAGGGTGGGAGGGAGAGGGGTTTGTAAAGGAGGTTTTGTGTGCGAGGGGCTTGGACTTCCAGCAAGCGTGCATGAGCGTATTTGATAGGAGTGAATGGAAACAAGTGGTTTTTAATACTTGAAGTGCTGTTGGAGTGTGAGCAAAGTAACATTTATGAAGGGATTCAAGGAAACCGGCAGGCCGGACTTGAGTCCTGGAGATGGGAAGTACAGTGTTTACACTCTGAAGGAGGGGTGTTAATGTTGCAGTTTAAAAATTGTAGTGTAAAGCACCCCTGTGGCAAGACAGTGATGGAGTGAATGATGAATTTTTTTTTTCGGGCCACCCTGACTTGGTGGGAGTCGGCCGATGTGTTAATAATAATAGAAAATTATTTATTTGTCTGAGAACCATGTCACTAGAGACTTGGATTGTGCATAATTTATCATCGTTCAGTTCAACGTAGTTTATTATTTTTGGAATTTCGCTAGTATCTTCCTGTTTAAAAACTGAGAGGAAATAAGTGTTAAAAATTCTAACATTTCCTTTTCACTGTTGATGAGCTGACCTGAGTGACTTTTGAGTGGACCTATCTTTTCCCTAATCTTACTTCTGTATACCTAAAAGAAACCCTCTGGATTACTCTTCCAATTTCTTGCGATTTTGACCGATAACCTTTTTTTGCTCTTCTTATTACTCTTTTGATTCGCCTATGTATGCCTTTCTTTTGACCAATTAGGTATTTTAAT